GGGCCCCGCCACCCCCGGGGCCTGGTTGGGGTCCGGGACCCGGGAGGCGTCCCCGATGGCCTCTGCCCCCCCCCACGTCCGCTCGGCCCTCCCCCGCCCGGGGCCGGAGCCCAGCTGTCTGGGGGGTGGGGTGGGGGGTGGCGAGGCCGGGAGGACCGGGGACAGCTGGGGACCCCCCCACCCCGCTCCAGGCCCTCGTGGCACGGGCTGGACGCGCCGGCCGGCTGGATGGCTGAATGGACGGGTGGGGGCTGGGAAGGGGCCAGCTGGTGGGCGGGCGAGGGGAGGGCCCGGCGCCGGGGTGGGGGGGATGAGGGGGGTGGACGGGGGGGATCCATCTCCCTGGCCTCTGGAGATTGGGAGGATGTCAGACTCCCCGTGAGGAGAGGGGGGCTGAAAACTGGGGTCTTTGCACTGGTGTGTGTGTGGGGGGGTTCTGACTGCTCAGGTATCCTGTTCACCTGAGTCCTTTCCAGATGGGTCACAGGTGAGCAGAAGAGGACCCCTTACCCCCCATCCTGGGGTCCTGCTCTGAGAGGGGGGGCACAAGGGGGAGTGATAGGATGCAGGGCCCCTGGGGACACCGTGGACAGGAAGGGAAATGGGAAGGGTGGGGCATACCTTCATTTCCAGGTGACCGAAAGGAAGTGAGGGAGACTTCCATGCCCCTGTGTGTGGAGGTAGAGAGGTCCAAACACATGGTTAGGACCAGTGCAAAGGCCCTGTGGTAGCAGAGGGGCGGGGGTAATAATAGATCCAGCAGAGCCTAGGGCCATAGGAAGGACTCTGCTGTTTTGTTTTTTGTTTAGAAGTGTTGGTTCTGGGGGGCTTGAACTCAAGGCCTGGGTGGGTACTGTCCCTTAGCTTTTTCTTTCAAAGCTGGTGCTCTACCATTTGAATCACAGTTCCACTTGTGGCTTTTTTCTGGTTCATTGGAGTTCAGAGCCTCACAGGGCATTCCTGCTCAGGCTGGCCTCCAGCTGTGGTCCTCCATCTCAGTTTCTTGAGTAGCTGAGATTCCAGGTGTGAGCCACCATGCCCAGCCAGTTTCTGGCTTTTATCCTGAGTGAGGTGTGAGCTGTGGAGCTTTGAGCAAAGGAAAAGATGTGACCTGGTGTAGTTTTATTTGTTTCTCTAACTCGGACTCTGGAAACTCTCTGGGCCTGAGGAAATCAAGTGATTTTGTTTCCTCTCCGTCCTCGAGTCCATCAGTCCTAGTGTCTGCTCAAGGGAGAAAAAGGGGCTGGGGGTTCTGTCCTGGGAAAATAGCCTCAGGAAGAACAGAAGAACATCCCCGGGCTTAAGGCCTTCACCGCAGCCTTTTGATTCCCGGTGTCTGTCCTCATCCACTCAGTTCACTGACAAATACCAAATTAGGATTTTGAGTTTGAGGCTAGCCTGGGATGTTTAATGAGACCTTGTCTCCAAACAAACAACAGGTTACCTGAATATTAGGCAGTTTCTTTTTTCCTATTTGTCTGTCTGTCTGTCTGTCTCATTTTGGTGTCAGTTTTGAGGCTTGAGCTCAGGGTCTGCGCATTGTCCCTTAGCTTTTTTGCTCAAGGCTGGTGCTCTACCACTTGAGCCACAGCTCCACTTCTGGCTTTTTGCTGGTTAATTGCAGATGAGTCTCGGGCACTTTCTGGCCTGAGCTGGCTTCAAACTGATCCTCAGATCAGCCTCCTGAGTAGTTAGGATTATAGGCATGAGCCACGGGTGCTCAGCTATTAGGCAGTTTCTAATGAACAGATTCTTTTTTTTTTTTTTTGGTCAGTCGTGGGGCTTGAACTCTGGGCCTGGGCGCTGTCCCTCAGCTCTTCAGCTCAAGGCGAGCGCTCTACCCCTGGAACCACAGCCCACTTCCAGTTTTCTAGTGGTTTATTGGAGATAAGAATCTCATGGACTTTCCTGCCCGGGCTGGCTTTGAACCGTGATCCTCAGATCTTAGCCTCCTGAGTAGCTAGGATTACAGGCATGAGCCACTGGTGCCCAGCTTCTAATGAACAGATTCTTAACAAAAGGAAAATAATCCTTGCTACTCGGGAGGGAAAGATTAGGAGAATCTTGGTTAGAAGAGAGCCTGGGTAAAAAGTTATGCCCCCCCCCTCAATCAACAAGTTGGGCATGGTGGTGTATACCTATAATACCAATTACATGGGTGATAGGGTAGGAGGATTTCCCTCCAAGATCAGAGCCTGAGTATAAATTCAAGGTCTAATCTAAAAAATAACTAAGCAAAAGGTGTGGGGATATGGTTCAAGTGGAAGAGCATCTGAGTAGCAAATATGAAGCCTTGGGGCTGGGAAGGTGGCTCAGTGGTAGAGCGCTTGTCTCCCATGTGTGAGGCCCTGGGTTTGATTCCTCAGCACCACATAAGCAGAAAAAGCCAGAAGTGGCGCTGTGGCTCAAGTGGTAGAGCGCTAGCCTTGAGCTGAAGAGCTGAGGGACAGCGCCCAGGCCCAGAGTTCAGGCCCCACAACCTGAAAAACAAAACAAAAAAACAAAGGTTGGTTTCTGTGATCTGCTTTTAATTTTTTCCTGGTACTGGGAATGGGACCCAGTAGCTCATGCATACTAAGCAAAGCCACATTCCTAGTTCTTTTCATTTGTAATTTAATTTTGTCAGTCATGGGGCTTGAACCCAGAACCTGGGCGCGGTCCCTGAACTCTTTTGCTCAAGGCTAGCACTCTACCACTTTGAGCCACAGCCCCTTTTCCGGTTTTCTGGTGGTTTGGGGAGTTAAATGTCTTGCAGGACTTTCCTGCTTCAGCTGGCTTCCAACTGCGATCCTCAGATCTCAGCCTCCTGAGTAGCTGGGATTACAGGAGTGAGCCACTGGTGCTGGCTTCAGCAGGCTTTTTAATCACTAGTGGTGTGTGATTGGAATTAGATGAGGGTCCCCGTTCACTTTTTTTGTGGTGTTCCTGCTATGAGTCTTCAAGAATTTCTGCCTTGAGAGAGGTCATGGGTGTTGGTGACCTCTTCTCTTGCCTTTTTCCCCCCTTTACACGAGCAGGAGCTCACACTGCCTTAGACTTCAATGTTTGTGGGCTTTGTCCTCCTTCCTCCCCCAGGGGAGAGACCTTTGCTCATCTGACCAGAGGAGGGGGGGGGCAGACCCACAATCCTTAGCATCCCTCCCATGGCATTGTGGAAACACCCACTCACTTGAGCTCTGTTGGGGGCCCAGGAAGCAGGTCTGATGGAAGGGGAGAGGGAAGCCAGGTGCAGAATCTCAGCTCCCACAAGACTGGAACTCCTAGCGATGGAAAAAATGTTGGGAGTCTGGGGTGTGGCTCCTGGGGACCTGTGAGACCCGCCCGTGGTTCTTCGGCACTGCCCTTAAGGTTCACTGAGAGTTTTGTTTGTTTTTGTGCTGGCCCCTGGGGCTTGAACTCAGGGCCTGAGCCGCTGTCCCTGAGCTTTTGTGCTCAAGGCGATCGCTCTACTGCTTGAGCCACCGTTCTATTCTCGGCTTGTTTACTCTGGTAGTTCATTGAGATGAGAGTCTCACAGGCTTTCCTGTCTGGGCTGGCTTTGAACCAGGATCCTCAGATTTCAGTCTCCTGAGTAGCTCCAATTACAGGCATGAGCTACTAGCACTTGGCCGAAAGTCTTGTATATTTTACCTAGGGAGCCTTAGGGTCAAAGGATCTTTGGGGGGCTAGGGGTGTTGGACAGAGAAGAGGATCTGAACTCTGTTCTGGGCTCTACTCCCGTCAAGGGTCCCACCCTGGGACAGCTCAGGAAACCCAGCCTGGGGGACATAGTCCCTTCTCCTCAGGCTAAGCACACTGCCATTCTAGACTCTTCTAAGATTGGCCGCATGGCCTTGGGTGAATCCCAAGGCCTTCCAAAGCCTCCGTCCCCTTTGATGTGAAAACAAAGCTACCTATCCCAGCTTCCACAGTGAGACTGCATTGAGTACTTACTGTTTACTGGGCTCCACTGTGCCAAGAACAACTTCACAAGGTCTGGAACCTTTCTGAATATAGAGACAGACATTCTTGTGGTGGTCTGTTTTGTGTTACTGTGACAAAATGCCCTGAGGCTAGGTAACCTTATGAAGAAATGAGATTTTGCGGGGGGGGGTCATTTCTGAAGAGTGAGGGGTGAGAGTCTTGTGTCGTGATGGGCTTTGCTGGCGGCCTCTGACTGGGTTGGGACATCAGATGGGGACATGACTGTGTCCTTGTGTTCCATTGCTCTCCATCTTGTTTTCGTTTTTATTTTCTTTTATGGGTGCTACTGGGGATTGAACTCGGGGCCTCATGCTTGCTAGGCAGCTGCGTTGAAGTCAGCTGTCTCCTAGGCCCCAGGGCTGGTAAATCCTAGCACCTCTCTCCAAGGCCAAGGGCCAAAGGAGGCTGGAGGTCTGGCTTCGAGAGTCGCAGCTGGGAAACAGCTGGTCCCGGGGCACAGCCCCATTCCCTGCCTGGGCATCTTTTAAAAATCACCTCCCCCACCCCCCACCCCCAGACTCTGTGGGCCTGGGGCTCAGAGAAGGCTTTGTGAAACCCTAATTGTTATTGTAAAAGTGATGTACAGAGCGGTTACAGTTACCTAAGGCAGGTCAAGCGTACATTTCTTCTTGGACAGTGTCAGCCCTTCCCTCACTCAGAACCTTATTATTATTTTTTTTTCATTTTAATTTTTGCCCTGCTGGAAATGGAACTCAGGGCCTTGTGCAAGCTGGGCAAGTAGGCACCTGGCTGTGGAGCCACGCCCCCACGGTTAGCCCCGCCCAGAGCATGTCCCCTTCATGGAGCCACGCCCCACATGTTGGCCACGCCCAGAGCATCTCTTCAAAGGAGCCACGCCCCCACAGTTAGCCCCGCCCAGAGCATGTCCCCTCCACGGAGCCACGCCCCCACAGTTAGCCCCGCCCAGAACATGCTCACTCCATAGAGCCACCACAAATTAGCATCCCCAAAGCATGTCCCCTCTGTGGAGCCACCCCCCCCATAGGTTAGCCACGCCCAGCGCCACGCCCCCATAGTTAGCCAACTCAGATATGCCTCCTCCACGGAGCCACGCCCCCACAGGTTAGCCACGCCCAGAGATGCTCCCTCCAAGGAGCCACGCCCCCACCAAGTAGCCAACCTCATCGCTACGTGTGGCCTGGGCTTGAACTCAGGGCCTGGGCCCTGTCCCTGTGCTTTTTCGCTCAAGGCTGGCCAGCTCTACCACTTGAGCCATCAGCTCCAGTTCTGGCTTTTTGGTGGTTCGGACCTACGAATCTCAGGCATGTCCATGCTGTGGGCGGGATTTGAACCGCCACCCTGAGATCGCAGCTTCCGAGTGGCTGGGATGACAGGCGGGAGCCGCCCGGCGCCCGCACTTCTCGCTTTGTTTTGAGGTAGAGGGTCTCACTGGGGAGCCCAGGCCGGTCTGGAACTGGAGACCCCAGAGGGCTGGGGTGATGACGGGTCATAGGGGATCTGGTGGGCTGAGGCCCCCATTTTTTTTTCCTTAATGGCAATGTCCAAGCAAACCACGGGAAGGTGGAAGGGTTTGGAACGTTTGTGACAAGGGGCTGCGGCTGGAGGCGCCGGGGAAGCTGGGTCTTCAGGGTCCCGGCGGCGCCCCCATATTCCTCCCACCCCCGTTTCTGTCCTCCCAGGACAGTGGCCGCCGAGGTTCGGAAGCAGGTGTCCCGGGAGCACAGCGGCTCCCCGCACTCCAGCCGGCGCTCCAGCAGCTCCCTGGGGGTGAGACTTGGGGCCCCCCCTCTTAGGGGTCCCCTGATCCCGCTGGTCAAAGAGGCAGTGATGCTGGGGGAGGGCGTGTGGGCAGCCACATTCCCACTTCCTGGACAACCCGACAGTGGGGGGGACTTCCGGCCCTGTGGGGGAGGGGCGGACCTGGCCTGGCCTCCGCCCTGGTGCTCCTGCTCTTCCTCCCCCATTAGATTATTTATTTCCCCCTGCTGACAGTGGGGCGGGCGTGATTTCCTTCCTGGAGCCCTGGAGGGGGGGCGGGGCTGGAGGAGCTGCCCTGGAAAGTGTGATGAC